CCCCTTTTTTTTTTGGGGGGGGGGGGGGGGTTGGTTTGTGGAGTGGGGGTATTCCAACTCTAATTAAATTTTGATTAAATCATCCTATATTATTATGAGTATATTTGGCCAAGGTGAAAAGATGTTTTAAGCATCTTATTTTGACACCATCAACCTTATCTTCTTGTGTTAATAAGTTAAACAATCACTCTATTTAATTAATTACCTAATTTAGTATCTAGCAAATATATTATAAAAATAATTCATCGTCTTTTGATTGGTTTAGAAAAATAAAAAATCGCATGGTGATGCTGACGATGCAGTGACTTCCAGTCTTGATAGAGACAGTGGGCCCCATAGGTCAAGTGGTCTAAGCATGTCCCACGGGCTGTGGGCTTCGCCGTTTTCAGTAGGATAGAGAACTAAAAGCTCGCCTGATTGTGATTTATTTTTAGTAAATTCGAATAGTTTGAAAGTCGCAATTACATTAAACGAAGACATGTAGATTTATCACTAAAGTGCGTTTGTTTGCAATCATGAATTTGTATAGAAAGAAAATAAATTGTGTAATTAAGGGTCCACTTGATTGTAAAGATAAAATTGAATTCGGTGGAAAACGAATTCCAGGAAATTGAATTGCCTAAAATTATTTTTTTGAGAATTGTAAATTATTGTATTTAATTGATATAATTTTTCACGTGGAAAACGTTGAAATAAAAGTGTTTTTTTATTTTCGTTTGACTTTATTTTACATGAAAATTGTCAATTAAAATGATAGAATTTACTGGTATTGGGGATGACATTGATTTCCATCGCCAAAAAGTAAAAAAAATAAAATAATAAATAAATAATTCAAGAAAATCATCTATTTTTTAGTGTTTATTTGGTTTTGTTTTATATGAAAATTATAAATGAAAGAGAAATATTTTTTTATAGTAATTCTTAGAATTGGTTTTCATTGCCTATTAAAAAAAAAATCGCTACAGTAGTCGGAAATTCCAATTCTCACCATATATGGTGAGAATTAAAATTTCACCAAATCAAGGAATAGCACAACTTCCAGTAAAAGCTAGAAACCAATTCCATGAAAAATCTTGTGAATCAAATATTACATTTTGAATTTTCCACCCATTTCCATGGAATTGGGTGAATCAAACACTACATAAATGTGTTTGATTGATTTAATTTTCAATTTAAAAAATATTATACTTGTCGATTTTTTATTGGTAGGTAAATAAAAGAGAATGGATAAATGAGAGGAAAAAAAAGAGAGTGAATTCTCTGAAAAATAAAAATTACTCCTCTTAAAGAAAATATTTTACCTAATTTTGAGAAAAATAAGGTCATGTGACCAAAACCAGGAAAATATTTTTCATGGAAAAAATTGTCAATCAATCAATACAAAAGTTCGGATTTGAGTGAAAAATATTAACAAGCTAACACACCCTAATATGTCTTCATTTTCACGTTTTAATAGTTGTCTGAAATTACCATTCTGCCCCCGTTTACATTTTCCCGATTCCTACCCGATTTATTTTCTTGTGTGAATCAAAATCGATCGATATGTGAAGAGGGCCCAAACCGGTGATTGTAGAAAAAGAACTCATCGACGATTTCAATATTCCAATTGGATTGGTGGTATTTGAGAGACATAGGCCTCTTTGGGGTGATTTGGCCTTCCTTCGGTAGTGGCACGTGAGGCGCATTAGGAATAGCTTACAGGTTGTCATGCCTTCCTTGGCTACTTAAATTGATCTTTCCAACATGGAAGGCAGAGACAGATTTAGGGGAGACCAGTCCCCAGCTGGTTATTTTTAAGTGTAATTTTTTTTTACTCGTAAATTAATTTTTTCTACATATTAGTTTGATTTGTAATCTGATCCTGAATACGTCCATAGTGGAAGGTGTTTTTGTAAAGAATTTTGTTAGACGTACATTCTTGTGCATGTCTTCTATGACATTGTCGTCTATGTGACATAACTTGGACAATGACGTGAAAGAGTGTTGGAAAAATCAAAGGCTATGATGGTACCATGTGGAAGAATGTAAGATAAGATATACATGTAGCATGATTCTTTTGGCAAATAACGGCACAATTTTTGCAAACCCTAGGCAAAAAGCGTGATTCCTATACATATAGTTTAAAAATAATTTCGCGTCGATTTGCTTATCTGATGGTAGTTATGCAGTTGATAGCAAATTATTTTTAGGATAAGTCTTAGTGTACATAAAATATATATATATAGGGCTTTGTGTACATCAAACACAACCCCTATTTTTGTTGGGTATATGATATGTTGATACCTATCTTGCAAATAGCAAACTGTTTTCGCTGAAAATGCGTTTGTGGCTTTTCTTTTTATTTTTTATTTTTAAAAATTATAAATTTATTGAGTCGATAATTGTCTGAAAAGTTTTTTTGTTATTGCTTGAGCTATTTTCTCTCTGAAGTTGTTGTTTTTGTTATTACTTGAGCTATTTTCTCTCTGAAATTGTTGTGTTTGGTTTCTTGTTGAAATTATTGCTTAATAACACCTCTCCTAACCAAAACCTGACATGCTCTGTATATATATATATATATAATTTATTTTATTTTTTTACTTGAAAAGTTTTTCAGTTTTAAATTAATCACTTAAAGAATCTAGATGATAATTTGAATATCTTTACTAAACAAATACAAAATATCACCAACTTGATGACAAATTGTTAAAAAGTATAAGAACATTATCTTGCTAAATGCTATACCTAAAACATATAAAAATGTTAAAATGCAATGAGTATATGGTTGATATTACATAATAGAAATTATTAGGGCCGACTTGAATGATATGTTAGTCATGACAGGATCTGATCTTGAGCCCACATGTTATGAAATGAATATTTATGTCTCGATCGCTAACACCTATTAGACCGAAAGAATGCATCGGTATTTGTAGCTCACCTAAGCAAAAGATTATGTAAAAATCGAACACTTAACAAAGAGTTTGATTGAATGCCTTAGACAACCTCAAACATGAACAAGACGGTGTGAAATCTGCCCCCCGGGGCATAACCCAGTGGTGCAAATGACAGGAGTGAGGTAGTTTCAACCTTACTGGTAGCTACAATCTGAGGGTTTAATTCCTGAGATACGAAATTGGACTCTTTGTGAGCACCAATGTACGAGCAAGCTCTTGTTCCCTGATCTGCTAGGGCACATCCTATGATTTACCTCCCTCACGATGCTCCAGGGACGGGATGGTGGGGATTTTCAAGGTTGGAGTTCAACCTTTCTAAAACAATGTGAAATCTAACAAATCAACTTTGACATTAGTATATCACACCTTTATGTTCAAGAGACTGGTTCTAGACAAGCATTACAAAAGCACACAGATCAATAAGCATTGAAAATGAAAATTTAATCATTAATTCCAAGTCCCAAATATGAAAAATATCAAATCAAAAAAATGAGTAAACCTAATCAAACTCCTATTAATAAGCCATTGCACAACTAAAAAATTGGGATGTATTTCAACCTAAGAAAAATCTCGACGTCTAAGAATCAGGAGAACGCAATAGTAGAGAAAAGGGATTAAGGACAAAAGGCGGGATGTGAGAGCTAAACAGTCGACAATAGAAGGAACAAAGTTTTAAAAAAAGAAAGGAGGGATGCAATTTGAGTCGTTATTGGTGCCTAATTTCATAAAACCTTCGAAATTTGAGTTTGCATATCTGTGACTTATTAAGTCCCTATTTGAGCTCAATTTTTTTCTCGAAACTTATTTTAACTACATTCTCCCATACAATAATTTTATATGTAAACTTAATTTCATTTTTTCTATTTTTTATCCACACATTCTTAAAAAATTTAATATTTCAAAACACATTTTCCCCAAAAAAAAAAAAAAAAAAAAAAATCTCAAACGGGGGCTAATGAATACTCAGCAATATATAAAACAAAATTAGTAGGTATAATCACATGGAGTCCAAGATGGCCTACACTTAGAACTACCCTCTAAACAAAGTCTATCACGTGATCCCTACCCCTGTCGATTGTAGTTCCCTTTGTTGCAACATCGCCGCCAATCACTCAGATACTATATATTTGGAATCCGTAGTACCATTAAATTTGGAGTATCCTATGGAGTTTACATGTATAAGCATTAGAATTTGCGTTATTGATTAGCATTGGGCTCCTCATTCGTTCTTTAAGCTGCGAGCTTATGAGTTAAGAGGGCGGAATGAGATTAATTTCGATCCAATAGGATCATTGGGGTACCCTCGAGTCTGGTTTTATCACATTTGGGATACATTCAATATTTTTCTTGGGACTAGAGATCAAAAATTGTTGAAAAAACAATAAGATCTTTCTCTTGTCCCTTCAAGGCGGGGACTACCTCCGATCTCTACCGTAGGTGCCAAAGAAGAATAAGAACTCCAAAGAAAATAAAAGAATTAAGTAAATCAAAAATCCAAAGGAGGTTCATGGTTAAGGGGAAAGATGAATTAGTTCAGTTATTTACGACCAAGAAATAATGGATTCACTTTCGAATGTTAGCATGGTGTCAATCATTAGGTGATTATTCTACCGATCTCTTTTTCATCTAATAGTGAGATGATCTTGCAAGGGTATGTTCCTTGATAATTCCATGTGACATTAACATGGTCTCCATGTGGTGAGTGTGCGTAGAGTCTGAATTGAGAAAAATTAAGAACTTAGTACAATTAAATTTATTTTTGATAACTAATTCAACAACATTCTTACAATTTAATTGAAAAGTATAGATGGAAACGAATCAAAATTGGACATTTTCTTGGTTGCTTCATTAAACACTACAATTATAAACATTTGTTCGAATTTTAAAACATAATAAAAAACAATTCTACTAAATTTTATCTTTCGCTCCAGATTACTATATATCGCTTCAAAATCAAAATACTAAAATTATTTAGTAATCATATGAACTTGACAACCATCCTTAAAGAATTGAATATTTCTATTTATCACCATTGACGTTCATCAACTATCTATAGTCTGTACATGGCATTGTCCTAGCTAAATGTCATATAAATTGTTAATGAACACTCATAATAATGAATAATATTCTCATTCTTAAAATGCCACCACCACCCTCTACTTATTTTGCCTTATCATTACGGATGTTAAATGTCGAGTCTTGTACACCGTCTGGCTCGGCTAGACTCACCATGCAAGCTAGATTGCAAATGCATAGGCAAGCCAAGCCGGCTCCTATCAACCGAAAAATTACATTTTCACTCCTCTATGTCAAATCGAGTGGCTCATTCAAGATTTTCACAGTTCAACTTGCATCGTGATTCACCTCAAACATGAACTGATCTAACTCAGCTCATTTGTGAGCGTGCCAAGTTGAACCGACGAGCAACTCGATATGCTTAACACAACTACCATCACTTACAAGATCACGATGAAAAGTCTGTATGTGGCCCATTTTTATAAAGAACAGGTGTTCCAAACAGAAAAGGGGAGAAGAGGAAAGCACATGGGTGGTAATAAGTTCAAGAAAATCCACGTGATCACATGTGCTGCCTTCGTTATTATTATTATTTTTTTTTTGACAATGGGACCCCTTTTTACAACCTGCGACCCTATCGGCCGGTTTTCCCTACACCCTATCGACAATCTCCGTTCCGTTCTCACTCTCATTTGCCCGCACGTGTCATCAACGCTCTTTTCTTATGGCTAAAGAAAAAAACTCTTATTTTCTTGATAATCAGCTTTTCATTTGATTAAGGAAAAATCATAGGACCCCATAGGCTTTTGACGTTGATTAGGCAGTCCTATAACATCAAATTTACACAAGTATCTTGCAACTCTATTATATTGACTAATATTAAATTTCAATTATAAGTACAATCCCATAAGAATTAATTCCCGTATGATTTTCTTGAAGTCAATTTTTATCTCGGACGATGTCCTTTGATCCAATGTTCAATTGAGTTACTATACTTTAATCTTGCGTCAAAATAATTTAGCCCCTATTTGATTCGCTATTATCTAGTCAAAGCAATGTTTTGAATAATAACTTTGAAGAGAATGCATTGTTAAAAAGTAGAAATTTTTTTAAATTTATGTGCAAATTATTTTATTGTTTGAATGTTTAGTTAAAAATGAGTATATATAAAACAAAGTTTTCAAATAATGATCTTCAAATAGGGACTTAATTTTGTTTTAATTTTCGTCACATTGTCTGATGTTACGTGCTGAGGTGGCCATAAAAAATGACCCGAAAACAATGAGGCAATCGAAAAATGTACAAAAGTAAATTATTTTCAATCCACGATTCTAAGACGTAAAATTGAAGTTTTCAATTATAAGTTGGTAATTAAGTGGTAAATTAAGCGCGTTTATGTGATTCCCACATAAATCCGTAATCAGGGCGTTGGGAAACCAAATCCCTAAAGTTGGTAGGCCCAGCTGTGTTGGCTTTGACATTTATACGACTCAAAATACATTAATTTAACACCATGCACCACCTCTACGACCACCAACGCCACCTCCTCCTCCTCTCTACAATTTCATGGAAAGTTCTAATAGCAATATTAGTAATTGTGCAGCAGAACCAGAAACCATAGCCACATTATCAAGAAAGGAACAGACAAATCAAGAAATGGTTCAAGAATCTAACAAATCCACCATCCGCCGCATGCGGCAACCGGATGGCCATAGAAGAAGCACAACAAACGAAACCCAGGTGAAAATCATCTGTGCCGGCGACGAAGAAAGTAGTGGTGGCGGAGAAGACTCCGATGAGAAAGCTGAGGTTGAGAAAAAGATCGTGGCTTTGCAGAAAATAGTGCCGGGAGGAGAGTCGCTTTTTGCAGACAAACTGTTTGAAGAAACTGCTGAATACATATTGACGTTGCAAGATCAAATTAAAGTCTTGAGATTTTTTGCTTCATTTGTTGAAGGTCCTGAGATAGAGAAGAGAAAGCTTGGTGGTTAGCAATGGTATTAGCGGCATCTCGAAAATGTTCGGACGGAAATATGGCTTTTAAATTAAGCTACGAATTAAGTCGATGCTGTCAAAGGGAGTCACGATGCCATGTGCAAAAGGAAAAGACTTGTAAAACGGTTCTTGATGCTTTCATGTTTATTTCTTGTTCTTTCTTCAAATTTTTTCTCTTGATTTTCTTTTTTTTTTTTTTGGGTATTAGGGTCAAGATTTAGCTTTTTTTGATAATTTTTTTAAGTTAAATGTTTAATTTGGATAAATTTCCTTTAAGGGAGATGTAGAATTGTGATTAATTGCTTAGTTCATGCTATTGCTTTGAAGCAATGTTTGTAGGATTTTTTTATTTTTTTTCCTCTTGAATGCATCTAGCTATTTTGCGTTCTCAGGGCATGTTTGATGTATGATATTTTAGCCCCGTTTGTTTCTCATTTTTTGCTTGTTAAAATGAAAAATATGACCGTTATCCATCACGTCAAACCACCATTTTTGACTTCTATATTTTGTATGGGACTCGTAACGGCTATATTTTTTATTCTCATTTTTACATTAATGTGTACCAAACGAAGCCCTTTGAGAATAAATTTTGTGAAAAGTCTTTTTTTTTGTTGGGGGCGGGGGGAATGCATGCTTAAAAATGATAGAGAAAAGATTTGCATTAATGCTAAAAATTATTTTATTAAGAAAATGTATGATAGAAAATGATTTTGAGAAAAAATAAATTTTAGAAAATCTGTATCGGACGTGACAAAAAAATCTTGTAATATCAGTTGCCAATATCCTTTGGAGTTTTGTTACCACTATTTCAATGTACGGAATTGTTCTACAATATCTATGTAGTCTTGATTAAAAAAAAAAATAATAATAGAGAGAGAGAGAGAAAATCATTAATTTTATTCTTTATTCATGTTACGTTGGATCCTCTATTTCACTGTAATAATAAAATTTCAATATATGAAGTAAAGTGTTTGGCTATGTTCGGAGGCTGAATTTAGACTATGATGGATTTTTGTAGGACTTAATTCCTTTTTTAAGTTTGAGTGGGCAAGCATTACGATAGGTATTGGTCTTCAAGACAAGAAAATATTATTATGTCAAACAAAAATTCCCACTCTTCAACGTACATGTCTAAATTGCGACTAATAGCAGATTTTAGATTTGGAATTTGGGGGTAATGCTGCGTGGTGGTGGATTTTAGATTTGAGTAGAGTAAAAGAAACAGCTATGGCAAAGTTGATAGTCATCGTGACGACATGTGGTGGAAGATTGTGCTACGCTTACCCAACAATTTATATAATGGTGTACCAACAGATGATATGAAGGGATTTAATTGGATCAAAATTTCATCAATCAAATAACTTTCGCACTTACATGTTGATACCTCATCATTATGTAAAATATTATATAAATAGTTATGTAGAAGAAATATTTTCCTTAAAAAGAATGGAAAGTATTTGTGGAACTGCCTTTATAGACCAAAGGGAACTTCCCTGCAATCCAAGTAAGACAATAATTAGGAGGGTATTTCTATTTACACCATAATTTGAAGTGTTCCTTGAAAACGTAACTCAAAACATATTATTTGGGACATTTAGTGAAAGATTTATGTCAGACGCGTCTCTAGGCGTTAGTCTAAAATAGGTTTGTAGAATAACTAATGCTACTCAAACAGGGGGCTGTGACAGAGATTTCAACAGGGGCTAAGGTGCGTAGCATATTTCTTGTAAAATGACTACACTAGCTTCAATGCCTTCCATCCGTCTATAAGAATCTCTTTTGCCGATCTAATTATCATGTATTGAATAATGCTCCTCGAAGGGAACTTCCCTGCAATCCAAATGAATTGCCATTTGAGCCAAGGAATAGACTTCGACGAAAATGCATCAATTCTTGTTGAGTGACCAGCTTATTGGGATGTATAACACCAGAGTCCTACTCACCAACGGCATAGATTGCATTTAAAGTGAAGCTTTTAGAATTTTTGGTAGAAAAAGATCACAAATGTTGTTTGGTTGTTCCTGCATAAGATTATACAACATACTTTTGCTGATTTGCTTCTGATTCTCGGAGTTCATGTCATTTGTCTAGGTAACTTTCCTGAACACATTCATGGTACGAGTTCATTAGGAGAAAGAAAGTTCTCATTCTAGTTATAGTTGTTGTAGGTTATCCAAGTTGCAGCTCCAATGATGAACTAGGTAGACTGTGACCTTGGCTACAAAATTTGTTATGATTGTGTTGGGGAATTGTCAACGACCTTATCTGATAAAGCTCCTGTTTGGTCCTTATTTTTTTTCTCAAACTCATTTTAAATTATTCATTTTATGAAACCCACAATTTTTATCAACTTTTTAACCATACATTAGTTCAGTTTTCATTGAAATTTACTAAAAATCTGATTTTAATCAAGATCAAACAGGGGCAAAATTTGTGGCATTTGCTTTTCCCATCCTCATAGAGTCATAAGCTTTGAGGAGGAACAATCTTCTAGTGGAAGAATTCATTTAAATTTGAGTCGTAAGTGTTTGTTATATGGTATAATTTCTGCGGGGTTGGTGTGGATGCTAAATTGTACGTTTTTGTGGGTGGACAAAGATAAGTTTGTGTAGAGAACTTTGAATCTCAATTAAGGAGCTACTAATAGGCAAACAAATCTAACGTATTTTACATATTGATTCGATTATTTAGATCCATATACTTTCTTAGAGGAACTTGTATTGCTTGCATTCACGAGGGACACCTTGAGGAAAACGTCTCAAGTCTGTGCAGTAATTGTAGATCATGTAGTTCTTTTGCACCCATTTTAGCTTCTTTCGATCATTAACATCAAGTTCTTGATACATCCATCCATTGATGGGCAAGGGTTTGGTAGAAACACAAGATGTCGATGGCCAAACGCAAGCATTGGCATTGAAGTTCCTATATGTAGCCGTAAAAGGTGCTTTTGTCCAGTCGGTCTTAACTTTCCCTCCTTGTGTTGCCCAGTCATCGGCGTTCCAAAGGCTAGAATAGAGTCTCATAGGTTGGCGTTTTGGGTACGGGACACCAATAGCTTCATTGTTGTTGAATACTCTTATTGGAATGTTATCCACCATGAAGCTGAAATATGGACAAGAAAATGAAGTACATGTGAGAAAATCATAGATTAAAATATATATTGTTGTCACTTTTAGCATTGACTGAATTAAAGACCAAAGAGTTTCATGTACATAATGCGCCGAGGATTCCAGATAATGGAGTACTGGTGGAAGGCAATTGAAGGGTTGAACCACAGATGAAATTGTTGTTCTCTGTTCCCTTTACCCTGTGTATATATATTTGTATGGACTGTGTAAGGTTGTCCTGATGAGTTTCCCAAGAACTCAAAATCAATTTCGTCGTGTGCTGTTCCTTGAGAAGATAACTACATGAAAAAGGCGAATTTAGAGTGTCAAATATCATTTACCGTGCGTGAATAAACAATACTAAGTTTTGAGTTTCATACATAGTACGTAGTTACAGTTCCAGCTGAATTTCCAGGTACAAGTTTGAGTTGCATATCAACCCTGCCGAATAAATATTGATTCTTGGACTGAAAACCTGAGCCTGAAAACTTGTCCAGTGACAGAGTAAGAAGTTGGCCTCCATCGAGTATCTTAGCTCGTTGACCACCCCAAGTGACGTCTATATGTTGGTAGAAATTTCCGGCCGAAGCAGTCATAAGATAAGCTACGACTAGAGAAAGTAGAAAAATATTCGTGACCATTTGAGAAGATAGCGACATATTCTTATTCAAGTATATATATTGCTACAAAACTAGGAAATGTGATATCTGAATTTGCTGATGCAAGTTTGAAATGCTTTATATAGGCAGCAAGAAGCTGTTAGGAAAGTGAAATTCAAGTTGCGTTTTCTCAAGTTGTTTTTGATACTAAAGGCATTAGCTGGCAATTGTGAGTTCCTTCAAAACTGGTGGCTTTGGTTAGGTTCTCTTTGAAATCTGATTGTCTGCCACTTTTGATACTCTTATTCTCGCTTTCTCATAACACACTCACAATTCTTTCAATTACTCGATTCACTTTTCCGCTCTCATAATATTCGACTTAATTTCATTCTTAATCTTGTTAACCATTCCATATAAAAGTCGCAAAGTCACGTGCACTAATTTAAATATTGTCTTCAATACATCTTTTCACATGTAGACTGAATTGTGACCGTCATGTTATGAGCAACTATGTTACTTATTTTAGTACAATAATTAATTAACTAGGCTTTAAATAGTTAGCCTGAAAACACACACACACACACACACATATATATATATATATATGTGCATAATGTGCACCAGGTAATGTACAACTGGCTAATTTATTTGCCTAGTTGGAATGTGAGAAATAACAAAATATATGTATGTGGCCCTTCCCCTTTTAGGCCTCCCCTAGTACAATTTGACAAGGCACACGTGAGTTTATGTAATATATAAAGGGTCAATTTGAAGGGATTTCTGCGTTTTGTAAAAGAATTTCTAGATTTTACCTGAACAAAGTGCTTTCAGAAAATTACTCGAACACGTTCAAAAGTAGTTATTAATTTTATAAACATCTTTTTACTTTATAAAAGCCATGTCAATAAAATTACGTAGAACTTTTCAAATTCTTGGCAACTTCGATGGTCACGTGAAATTGTAGTTGTAAATATTTTTTGGCTAACGATGAGAGGATGCAGTTAACGTCAGACCAGATGCATCCTGTCACAGGCTTCCCACATAGTCAAAACCTTTTGGAGATTAGTCTCTTGGCCTTATCCTGTAGTAAGGGATTTTAATAAATGCACCAAAAGGAAAACGTTTTTGTAGTAGAGTTCTAAAATAATTACGTAAAAACATTTTAGAGTAATAGCGACTTTCTTTTTATAAATAGATAGTCGAATCTCGACTATAAATTATTAAGAATGATCAAAATTTTTTGTGATTTCTGCTTTAAAATTTGAGCTCGTGGATCATGTGTTTCTATCTA